ACTCGTGTCAACCCTTAAACTACACGACAATTGACTCGTGTTTTGATTGACAAGATTTGTGCGAAAATCACTTCTCACTTGTGATCGCCATTTGATGGTCACAATTGATCCCACATTAAGATCACCACTCAATGCTATCATCGATTGTCTCCCTCTTCTGCATACGATTGGAAGCATTGATTGAATTGCTAGACAACTGATTGGAGGGACACAAAGACAGATGACTCGTTCTGGTGGTCACCTAATGATAGGCGACCACAACGACCATCAATGAAAGAGAGCGCCGGTAGGGATGGCCACCGAACTCGGGTGGCTATAGACCACACTAAGAGCTCTCTGACCAACATTGAGTCGACCGCCGATTCAGCCACAGGTCAACCGCTTTCAACCGCTTGTGAACCCAAGAGTCCATCGCATATCTCATCGACAGCTTCCACATCGTTATCGTCTCCCAACTTGACTCCCAATCCCTGTCCGCCGAACGCCTCCCTCTCGTCCCAAACATTACCTAATCGTCCAATCAATCCAAACAACACTAACCCTAAGAATAGCGGATCAAATCCCACGTCAAGCGCTAATCAGAGCAGCACTTCATCCAATCCGAGCGCCACTAACTTTGACGACGATTACAACGAATGGGAACTCGGAATCGGAGATCTCATCATTGATTTAGACGCTGACATCGAGAGACAAACTAATGATAAAAGTGGTCAACAAAACGGTTCCGCAATAAGTGTTGCAAACAGTAAAACAATTGAAACTAATAGTGAATCTTCTGGTGTAAGAGGATTAGCGACTCTAATAGACAACTGTAGATCTGATCCCACTTGCGGTGCCATCACAACCATGTCTGCAAACTCGAAATCCCGAGTGGGAGGACTGACCACTGGAACAGCCGTTGGTTCGTCCACTATCTCGCCATCGCACCACCATCACCACCACCATCATCACCATCACCACAATCATCACTCCAGCAATTCATCGATCAACTCATCGTCTTCGTCGTCGAGCTCGTCCTCGAGTTCGTCGGCGTCGACGCCATCGGTGGCGGGTGTGGAGCACTCGGCCACTGTCGACAAAGGACTCAAAATGAAAATTAAACGCAAAAGTATTGGCGGAAAGTCTTACGAAGCGAAGCACGAGATCGTGTCCTCCGATATAAGCGCCGCTAAATACTCGTCCAGAGATCACAGCTCTGGCAGCTCTTCGGCCAACTCCAGCAGTGGCTCTACGGGTGACCACAATCAGGGTATGTCTGCAACGAATTCGTGCACCTCTTCTGTGATCTCTCCGTTATCTTCTTCGACGTCAGACTTTAAGTCAACCAAACATTCAAATAAAGGCAGAAGTGGTAGTCATAGAGACAAGAAGGATAAGAACAGAGATAAGGATAAGACAAGTGGTTCTAACACTAGTGTTAACGCAACCAGTGGTGCAGTTGTGTCTTCTTCTTCGTCTTCAGCCAACAAAATCAATTCAACGCTTTTGACGACCAAAATGTCATTCAAACCAAGTATTACATCGAATGAAGTAAACGGTTCCGTCACTACAACAAAGCCCACCAATGATTGTCCCATCACTACAAACCCTTTGCCAACCAATTCGACCCCTAATCTCAACACAAGTACTTCGATCTCACGGCTCACTCCTTCGTCGACCGTCACATCCATGTCTTCAAATGCACTGGCATTGAAGTACTCGTCGCCATCTCTCAACCCAACTGTGATCATAAGAACCGATGAGTTGACCAAAAATATCCCATCGCCTCACAAGAAAATCAAACTCGACTCCAAAGTAAGTGTCTCTTCACTCCAACCCATTCAACAACACTTGCAATCATTACATAACTTGTCATTTAAATTATTTGTCATCGATTTTATCACAAGTTTGAGAAACAGTAGTCTATAAACAGAGTATTGTCTTCAAATTGATTATTATATTTGCAAAATATTTTTAACATGAGATTATATTTGAATCTCCATTTTGAATATAATTGAATGATTTTATGATTGATTTGTGATTTAATACATTTAAAATGCATTAATTAGTTAAATAGTAGTAAATGTATGTATAGTAAAGATGGTGTGCGAACTTCACTCTGTGCTGTTTTGTGTCCTAAAAACGGTTCAATTTTTTCAGTTCGCAAATTATTTTCAAATAATACAAACTCTTTTCGTTTAATGTATTTTTAATACGAGAATTAATTTTGTTTGAAACACTTTTTTATAGCCCGAAGAGAGTATTTCTGCGACACGAGATACGGGCACATCTACCAGCGTTGGAACCATTACGGAACCCGACTGTTTGGGTCCCTGCGAACCGGGAACTAGTGTTACCTTAGAGGGCATCGTATGGCAGGAGACCGAAGGAGGTATTGAATGCGTGCATTGATTTGAGTGTCCAAACGATATGTATTAACTGTTTGAATGTTTGCACGACAGGTGTGTTAGTGGTGAACGTGACGTGGAGAGGGAAGACATATGTGGGCACATTGTTGGACTGTACAAAGCACGACTGGGCGCCGCCCAGGTTTTGCGAATCGCCCACAAGTGATATGGAGTCCAAAAATAATAAGAATAGTCGCGGAAAGCGATCGCGAACTGCAAACATAGCCAATGACGCGGCGGTCGACAGTCGGGCCGTTCAGAGCAAACTCCGTAACGGAAAGGGTCGCCGAACTGCTAATTCTGGGTTCACAGTACCGGCGAGTCCGGCCAAGAGTGACAGCAGTGCGACCTCCAGTTCTAAACGCAAAGGCAGACCGTCTGATCTGGAGTTGAGTCCAGTCACTGAAGCCGTTAGTAATAACAATAATAATATGAAAGGAAACAAAAGAAATAGATCTCAAACACGCAATACTTCGGTGTCGAGCGCTTCCAGCGAACCGAACACACCTGTGGCTCAGCCCTCATCACCCGTTCTGATTGAGTGTCCGGAACCCAATTGCAGCAAAAAATACAAGCATATCAACGGTCTTAAGTATCATCAAACGCACGCCCACTGCCACGACTCGCAAACCACATCCACTGACGCCAACGCAGCCAAAGATGCGCTCACGTCTGACAACGAGGACAACAATCTCGACTCGACGAGTGTGCCCTCCAGTCCCAGTCGAGTCATCGCCGAAGACATGACACCCGAACCTAACGATAACGTCAGTTCAAACTTATCCACATTGGCTTCGGTTGCGATCGAAACGAATGAAACGTCAAAAACTGATTCGAAAGACGAAATCGAGAAGTCGTCTGCAGTGTTGACGACGGCGTCTATGAGTGCAAGTTGTGCGGCCACTGGAGGCTCGTGTGTGACCGTCTCGACCGGTGTCGCCACCGCTACTCCAGTGACGAGCAGTCCATCGCTTGCGAACAGTGCCAACACATTCCTAGTCTCGAATCAATCCTCTTATCTCATCGATCAGAATATCAAAATCGATACCACTTTAAGTGATAATAAGATTAAGCCCTCGAATACGGGATTAACTCTAACTATGAGACCATTGGCTCCAATGCCGGGCATTAACAGCGCAATGATTGCCGCGTCCGCTAACCTGANTCTCATCGATCAGAATATCAAAATCGATACCACTTTAAGTGATAATAAGATTAAGCCCTCGAATACGGGATTAACTCTAACTATGAGACCATTGGCTCCAATGCCGGGCATTAACAGCGCAATGATTGCCGCGTCCGCTAACCTGAAACCCATTCAACCGAAGCCCACAATTTTGGGCGAACCCTTCGTTATGAACCCATCGCTTGAAGGACTTAAGAAAGAGAAATCAAAGCACAAAAAGAAAAGCAAAGATAGAGATCGCGAGAGAGACAAAGACAAGGATAAGGAGAGAGAAAAGGACAAAAAGTTTGCGATCGATAATTCGTTGAGTGTTTTGAGTAATTCTTCCATAACTGACACAAAGTTTACATCAAAATCCATGGAATTATCAAAAGCCGTGTCCGAAGAAAGTGAGGCCAAGACTGTGAGCTCATTGGATACACCGGCAACTGATGATCTGTTCTCTCGCGTCGATTTAGTGAACACAAGCACTTCCAGACCCATCAACTTTGACCTCCCATTCAAAACAATGAATGCCAATAATGTGTGCGAATCCGACTCAACGGACAATAAGATAGCGGCCAATGAGGTGTCAATAGAGAACGTTCGGAGTCCCGCCTATTCAGACATATCGGACGCCAACGACACGACCCCTTCCATCGAAACCACTGAAATGGAAAGCATTGATAAGTCTGAGGACAACGTGACGGCCGACAATACAAATGCAGACATTTCGAGCCAAAGCTCGCCGTCGTTTCGTCTCTACCCGTATTTCAATCAAAGCCAATACCTGCTGCCCGTCAGTGCTTCCAACCCTCCGGACATCCCTCAGACGCCTCAGTGCTCCTCATCTGGTCTTCAGGACAGCAATAAGAACAACGAAACTGAGTTCTCGCGTTCGGTCGGAGCAAAGCGGCCACGAGTTAACTCAGACCAAAGCGACAAAAGCCGATCAGAAGATTCCATGTCTAATGCAAAGAACATTTGCGACTCATCACCACTGCCATCGAGTACTCCTCCAGAAAATATGCAGGATTTCGCTTCAGTCACTCAGACCTATCCATACGGCGTGTCGTCATATATGCAAAGATATCCCGGATATCCAATTGATCCCAATTATCACATGCATCTCATGGCTAATGATCCACACTATAAGGAACAGTGCGAACGATATTTAGATCACGAGCGGCTCTTTAAGGAGCAAACGGACAAAGAGAAACTCATTTCCCCGCAAAACAATAAACCATTGGATTCTTCGACCAAACAGTTTGCAAACAAATGCGTCCCAATTGTGAAGCCATTGTCTCAACCGTCGAGAAGTGATTCCACATTTGATTTGAACCCAATTTCTACGAATATCAAAGACAAACAAAGCGAAAACAGACAAATTCTTAAAGAAAATCATGAATTAAAGTCCCAAATGGACGCCCAAAACAGTAAGAATAGACACACGAGTCAAACAACTCACCCAAACATGTCGTCCGTTCCTTTTGGACCGATGTTTGAGAGACACAGAGAAGACCACTCGAAGCGATATTTTATGGACAGTTTGATTGAACATCAGACTAAAGGAGATATGGATTCGCACTCGAGTGCAGTCGTGGGTCCGCCACCGCTACTCAAAGATGGTATGAATCGCTCAAAGAGTGATTCATCCAAGTCTTCTGTTTCGAGTTCCAGTCATAAGCACTCGACTTCTCCCTCACTCTCACACTCTAGTCCTAAACCAAAAGATGGTCTCAAAAAAGACAAATTAATTGACGAAAAGGACGACAAAAGCAAAATCAAGATGAAAGAGGAGGGCGTGAAGCCCACGATGGAAACCACTGGACCGCCCCCTCCGCCCACAAACGGCTACTATTTCGGGCCCTCGTATTTAGCGCCACACTTCTCGCCCTACGAACACTCGCACCCAATGTTTAGGGCCGGCTCTATGAGCCCCGTAATGATGGGAAACCCATATTCTGGCCAATACTTACCGCCACAACTTCGTTACCATTTGTCTCCTGTGGCGCCTCCCAGTCCTATTGGATCGATGGACATACCAGTGGGCACGCCATCAATGAATCCGACTCATCCGCCGAGTGATCCTTTAGTGTCTAAAATGCATTCAAACGCACCGAACGCTAAGAATGTGGATCTCTTACATCCCGTTTCACACTTTGGATCCCATAAAATACATGAACTCCAAGAAAGAGCTTTAATATCGCCCACAGCGACAACCAATACAAGTCCTCATCACATCCAGTCCTCGTCAAAGACAGTGTCATCGGGTGGTATACCTGTGCCCACCACTAAACCTATCGGTCCCACTATTTCTGATTGTTCTGCTCTCTCGAGTCCCGGCAAAGAAGAGAACGCGGATATGAAGTCAGGCGATCGGCAGCGTTCACCCCCTCCCCAGCGACACCTCCACACCCATCATCACACACATGTGGGCGTCGGGTATCCCATCTATGATCCCTATAGCGGTATGTCTGCAGTGTTATCATTACCAATGAATGGGAGTTTAGTTTGAATGCTTTTGTCACTAACTCTGTTATTGAAGGCCTCAGTTGTGGACTTCTTGAGACGTGAACTGAATTGAAATTGAATTTATGTTACCTTTTAGTGACGCCGAATTGGAAACAATCACAATCACAAAATCATCTCTCTTATAGGATTATGGTATGACATGAGTTGCCATTAGATAATCAGTTATACAGTTACACAGCTTTTCGCGTATTAGCGTCCAATTGAGGCCATAGTTAAGTCAGTATGGGTTCCCTCATCTCAACCCTTTATATAGAATTAGATTGCATTCAAATTACTAGTTAACTAACAAACAATTTAGTGTATGTTTGAGTGAGAATTGGGTATTAGTTGACTGTCAGGCCTTATCTGTATCTGATTTGTGGTGAATACTGATGTGATGTATTATGTGATGAATGAAGTGATTATATAATTAATAGTTGTTATGTTTTATTGTCCACAGCAATGATCGTAAGCCAGTCAGCGGCGGTATCGATGCATCCATTTGTTCCGAAGTGATGGTAACGTTTGGCGATTATATAACAGTTTCATTAATCTTCTGATCTTATTTACAATTGGTTTGTGTTCACTATATTTGAAGCCCAAAACATTTTATATCATTGTTTTAGTCTATGATTGCGATTATTATTTTATATTTTTATCGTTTTTTTTTATTTATTTAAGTATTATATGATATATTGTCTTATAGTTGTGATTGAGAACAGACTATTGACTGAACGCCACAACGATATTAACGAGACTTTTGAGACTTTATATACAATTTTTGATGTTAAGAGTGATATTGACTGTAAAATACATATATATTGCATAAACACATATACGATACAAAGCATACTCTAATTTATAGTTAAATCTATAATCGATTAAATAGTATTGTAAATGATTTGTTAAGAACAGCGCTAATGGTTTTGACCGAAAGCCAGTATTTTTGTCCCCAAAACACAACTCTAAACGTTTATTTCTTTCTGTGCCTCTCTTTTTTGCGGCAATTTTTCTATTTAATTAATGCACACTTTTTTAATGTATATTTTATTATAATTTGTTTTTTTTGAACAACAGTTTCAAATGAAGAGTAAACATAACTTCTGCTATCATTGTCTTAAAACCCCTTTCTTTTTAGTGCCATTCTTAAGACATGAGATGAGATATGTTTTAACACACATTTTGCACATTCCGTTTGACAAGGAATGACATTTCAATACAATAGTATTGTGTAAATAACTTTTGAAATTAGAAAATCAACAGATATTGTCATAAAATTGTATATAAACTCATTGTTTTCTCAATAATTTGTTTTATGTTTTAATCATTTTGTAAATTCAATTATAATTACAATTATAATCAATAATTTTATTAGTATTTACTTAAATAAAGGGGGTTTTGGTTATAGATATGCAATCTTTTAGTACAGATAAATGGCTTTAAAATATTATTGAAAATGTTTTTATGATAATAATAATAATAGTACTGTTTATTTAGTGTACAATTAACACTTGTATATGAATTGTGTAGAGTGTATGCGTTTTGTCTAATCGGCGTCTAAAAGCACATATAATTAACATATTTATTAAATGGGTGTCAAATGTTATGACAATTACCACATAAGTAGTGATGACATTAAATGTCTATTAATCTGTATCTAAAGATTGCATATTTATAGCCGAAACGCTTTTTATAATAATATATCGAAATAATGTTTTACTATAAAATTAAATTCAATACTAATTAATAGTTAATAATGAATGGAATATGGATTTTAATTAAGTATTGTTTTAGGTTTTTAACTCACTTTTAAAATGTAATAAATTTGCAATTTTTGAATTTCAAATAATGTTAAAACTATGGGAAATAAAACTCATTTTCAAAATGACTTAATTGTTAATTTAATCAATCATTTATTTACTAAAGTTTTGTGTTTAATAATAAGTACAGCATATTTAGAATCACACAAATACCACATTAGATTGGATGTAGAAAACAAATGACATGATTATTGAATACAAAAATGAAACTTAATTTTAAATGATATAATGCTTTATATTAAATACATTTACAGTTAATTGGATCAATCAAATCAATCAAAACAACACCTTTTTAGTGAAAGATATCTTTCTTTTTGTTGAGATAATCGACAAAATGTTTAATAAGAGTGACTATTATTTTCAATTGCCTTTTAGTCATGGCTGGAGTGGAGAGCAAGAAGTCTGGCATTGCTATCAATGATCGGAGCAAATGAACGAAACCATAGGTCTGTTTGGCCTCATATTTGTGTTTGCATTGGTGTTGAAATTGTCTCAATTGTTGTCTCTCTTCTTCGTTGTAAAAGAGGTGACAGTTATCGATGAGAGCATTGAAATAGATTTCCAGCGAACTCTTAAATTCCGACACTATTTGGGACTCATTTTCTTCGGTGATCACTGAGTTTGGATCACTTGTTAGACTGATATTAGTGTTGAGAGTGAACTCATCGATGATTTGAGACACATTCGGCTCAATCGGTAGTTTGTAAAGCGATCTCTCGATTACACAATGCGTAAAGTCTTTGTCTAAAATGGCTTTTAAGTCGTTTGTCAGACAATAGATGAGTGACTGGGAATCCGACTCTTCGTAAGTGTTGGTCTCAGAGGTGGCGGACATTGTGTTGCAGTCGTTGCTGACACTCGTCCGCACACTTGTCCGGCAACTCATCCACGAGTTGTGATCATCAGAAGAAGAAGAATGTCTGTCAGTGTCCTCTTGCGTGAGCTCTTCGTCCACATCCGAGCCATTGGTGTCATTGTTAGCCGATTGGAGGCTATTGTCGTCATTTGGTGGCAAAGTATTGCCAGAATTGACGACAATCTCCTTAATAATGGCCGGAATTTTGTTGAGTTTGAGTTTTTTGCCCTTCAAAGCGATGGCCGCCTTCTCTGCCAAAG